TTAAGACTTATACAAAAATGCAGTTTTTTTTTCAGATCAACTAATTAAAAATGTACATAATATACAAAAAAAGTATTTTTTATATATTTTTTTAATTTCCACCTAATTTCAGATTATATTTTTGACAATATTTTTTTTCTAACAACAGACAATTTTTTGATTATGTATTTTTAATTTAGATATATAAATACATTTTTTTTTTCAAAAATATGTTATTATTTTGCCAAAATCTCCAAAACTTTTAACTTTTTTACCCACAGGATCTCCTTACAATCAATACAATTTTTTTACATTGTTGTTTACTATTCTTTAGATTTAGTAGCAAATACATTTTCCGTAATTTTCAATATTAAAAAAATTTTTTTTTGACCATTTCATCGAAATTCTGCCCAACTCACCAATTTTGATTTTTCACACCCGCACCATCTCGCTACCATCCACTTGCACCTGCATCTCACTGGGTGTTAGCACGAGTCAGAAGTAAAGTAACCGCCGGTGAAAGATCTCGCGGCGCGCGCGACGACAATCAGCTACCGACTGGTTGAAAGAGCACTTCCATGGCATACATCTTGCAGACAAGTGGGTCACTGGAAACTCTCTCCCAGACACCCTTTGTGCCGTATGATAACGTCGGCAGCATCTTCAGCGGCTCTTCCACACCGGCCGGCCCGCAGGATGCCACAAACGGACCGCTCTTGTCCATTTGACTGGAAACACAGACGTAAACACTTGATAGACGATCTATCATATTGGGTGAAAGAAAAACAGGTTTGAGCTTTACTTAATTGTAAAATATGGATTGGGTGTGAAATAAATTTAGATGATTATAAATTATGTGTTTTTATGTCTAATCGCGGCTCCCATGTCGTATTTCATGGGTTACAAGATAATGGTTGTGTGTTTAAATTTAAATTAGATTTTTATACACGTGGTTGAAGTTTTACAAAAGAAGGATACATAACTGTTTGCTAATTTCTCAAAAATTCCGCCACAAATTCTTTGTCTGTGGTCAGTTGTTGACCCAAGTAGCACAGCATCTCTTCAATTTTACTTTTCAGAGATTCTTGTCTTAGACCTAAATTACCATCACACAAGTCCAATTACACGCTTTTTAACGCCGAAAACATGATCGATTTTTTAATTTCGGGACTGATTGATCATCCACTGTAGCTCATTATAAAGAATTCGGTTCGTCGATACTTTCACCATAAATCCTTCGTTTATTTGGGTCCCGGATTGTTTTATGTCAGTGGCTCAAGGGTTATTTTAATGGTATTGATGGGAATTGGGCTTTGTTTGCGATTGACCATGGGCGAAGTGCAGCTATTATAATGCGAAATGTTCAACTTTCTTTCGCACACTTATCTGTAGCGGCATCGCTGATATACATCGCGAGCACATCCTACTCATTATTGAACCAGTCGTGTGCAAGATCTTGTACCTATACCACATTTTTGAAATGTTTTACACAACTTTTAAATATTTCTTTCATAAAAACAATTTTTTTGTTTTTCTCTTGCCAATGTGTTTGCATTATGGACCCCAAAATGCTTTTTAACAGTTTTTCTATCTTTACTGACATTTTTTCACTTGGTGTTACAAGTTACCACAGTTGATTACTCAACTTTTAAGTTTCATTTTACAAACTATCAAATTTGTTGTTTTTTTTTTTAATTAACTATTCGCTTTAATAATAGTCAAAAATAATAGTATATTATATCACAAGGTAAAGAAGAGATTTTTTATAGCTGAGCTGTTTTGGAAATAATACATGCGAGGCTATAAAAATCGGAAACAAATTAAATGCACAGTATATTATTTAAACAACAAGTATTTTTGATCAGTAAAAATAATAAATGCACAGTGCAAAATTCACACATTCACAAACAAAATGTTTCCGAGCACAATCGAAATATCACAAAGCGTTCAAAAACAAAATTGTGGTATCAGTGATTAGACTGATTACCATTTGTGCACAGTTTCCAGCCCTTGCTAAAATCATTCTTGCGCAAGGGCAATACATAATACATATAACACCCTTCAATAATAATAAATATTCAGTAATATAAAAATAAGTACCAATAATGAATAACATTCTTGCGCAGGGGCCATACATGGTTATGTAACCAAAACTTTAACCAAGACCAAAATTCTTTAAATTTGATGTTGTTTTACTAATTTTGATTAAAGTTACTGAGCGTTTTTTATTTTTACTGTGCAAATTGGATTTTTTACTGAACAAATTACAATAAAATACTGTGTGTGCGTTACTTAGCATTTATTATTTTTACTGTGCAAAAAATTATATTATACTGATTATTTTTAATTTTTTACTATGCAAAAATTAATTAAATACTGATCATTTATCGTTTCATAGGTACTGATCAAAATTGAATTATTTACTGATCGCTTTATTACTACCCATAAAAATCTTCTCTACCGTGTTTTATATAATATTTTTTCACTACTAGCACATTTAGTACCTAGAAATATAACCTTACTTATTTAATGGACATGTTGCCTCAGACATGTTGCAATTCACAGCTACAATTTTTGTTAATTCACTATTACCTACAGAAATTAATTACTTACCTGAGTTATTATCTTAAGTTGGAAGTATTTATTATTTTCTTCTTATCATAAATAAAATTATGTCATTTTTGTACTTTTGCAACTAATAAAGAAATTTTCTAACTTCGTAATATGAAATATTTGTTAAAATGTCAAAGAAACTGCAAGGAAAAGGGAAAAAGTGTTAAAATTTAACTTAGTACCGATAGTATTTTAACAAGAAATGAGCCCATTTGTCAGGGCAGTACCCAAGGGGGGGGGTTTAGGGGGTTCAAACCCCCCCCCCCCAAATGCTGAACACTTTGTTATATAGTGTTATAAGTGTTAAAAATTTAGTTTTTTTGTTATTTTAATGAGTTAATTTTAAATTTTTGTGAATTAATTTTTCATGTGTTAATTATACAGTGTTTCATTTTTATTGTTAGGTACAAATTTAAATAGTTAATAGAATATTTAATTTTAAGATAAAAGTGTTTTGAAAAATGCCATGAAAAGGAGTTACACCCCCTAAAAAAGGTACGTTGTTTAAAGGGATTTTCCTAATATTTCAGAATAGATAAAATTACAAAATTTGGTACCTTTATATGTACAACCAAACAAATGCCAAATAACAAAATTTTTAATCAGGGGCGTCCTAAACGGTAAAACAAATTTAATTTTTAATTTTTATGCTGTGTATGGTCTGTAACATAAATTTTAATAAATAAAAAATCCGTAAATTTTATCGGAAAAACATAAAAGACCTTTTTTTATGAAAAACTATGAAATTTTGTTGCTGAAAGTGGCAAGAAACCACAGAAAAAATAGTTAGAGTAAATTTTTACCCTAATCCCATCTAGTTTAGGAAGCACCTAATTAAAAATTTCAACATTTTATTTTTGTACTTGTTTAGGTGTATAAAAGTTATCATCTGTAGCAAATTTTGATTTTTTTTTTTAATGATTTCGGAAATATTGAAAAAAAAAACTATTAAAAGACGCACCCCTTGCGTAGCATTTTTCGATATATGTTCATAGAAAATTTTTGTTTTAAAAATGAATATTCATCTCCTGTTTAAATTTGTAACAATAAAAAGTATTAAAAATTTATTTTATTTTTTGTTACTTTTGTGAGTTAATTTGTATATTTTTATGTTTAATTAGGATCTCTTATTTCAATTTAAAATAAAAACGTGTACTTAGAGATTTTTGCTTTTTAATCCGTCTTCTTTCATTTCATTTTCATGGACCAACAAGAAACATAAATGAAATGTTTAAAAAATGTTCTAGAACTGCAAAGTATTTTGAATTTTTGAATGCTTATCGATTTACCAACAATAAACAAAATACTTACCGACTAGTTTAGGATAGCAACTAGTAAATTCAACTTACTGTCTTTGAAACAGACGTGGAAAACAATCAAATAAAGCTCAATCTCACAAAAAAAAATTTCTTTTTAAAATATTCTTGTAAATATAACTTGCTTGTGATACTTTGTTCCAAAACTTTCCAAATTTGTCACTTTTTTAGAAACAATTTCTTTCATTACTTTGTGTTTTAATGTAATTTCAAAAGTATCTGTCTAACAATATCAAATTTGGTTAAATTTTAAAAACTATTTTAGTAGTCGCTTTAAGAATAGGCCAAAACAAAAATGTCTATTTTAGATCACTTCATTAAAATAAAAATTTTAATATTTATTTTTTTGTAATATTTTTGTCAAAAAATATTATTTTAAAATTTAAAACTAATTTGCTTATGATTCCTTGTTCAGAAACTTATTTCCTACTCACACATAAGTTTCCCAAGAACAGTTAAAAACAAAAATTTTTATTTTCAATTAGTTTTCTATTAACATATTAAAAAAAACATCCTAGTTATTTTTATAGACCGCTTTTAGTACTTAATTGTTTTAAAAATTCAAACAAAAAAATTACAATTTTGATTATTTTACCGTTAACAAAACTTAATTTTTATATTAAGTGTACGAAACGATTGTTTTTTTAAAGCGAGAATATGCCGCTTTTTTGTTAAGACAAAAATGCATTCGAGCGTTAAAACACAGTTTCATACACATAATATAAACAAAATTTTCTTAAAAATATTTAAATTAAATTTTTAAAATACAAAATTTAGTTGTCATGTTTCTGCCAGTGTGTGAAATGCTGTTTCACACACTGCTGTGATTTCGCGCCCTTAACAAAAAATGGACTTTGCGTATTGATTTCGATGTGTAAAATTCAACTTCATACATGATTGTAGAAAAAATATTTTATTTAATTAATACATTTTAATCAGTTCAAAAATATGATTGTGTTTGTATTTAAGTACTTTGAATTTTATCAAATTTTAAATGAGACTACTTTTCATTAAACACTAATACTTTTTATAAAGAAATATGGTAGATGAAGTTGAAAAGAGGTCATAAAATCTACCTACTTTATATTCCTGCAATTAAAAAAAAATTACTCTCGTTAAATGTCAAGTCACGTATTTTGCTTCTGAGAGCTTAAAATAAACATCCTAATTGATCTGCTACTCCCTAATAGAGACGAGAAAACCACAACAAATTCATTGCTTTCTCAAATTTTCTACAATTGAATTAAAAAAATGTTTCTTGAAATCATTCAACTACGTTTTTTGCAAAGGTCAATAAATCCAAAATTATAGTAATTAAAGCAAGTTTTAAAAACTGAATTAAAATTTTTCAAAAATTGCCCCCACAGCCTCCCATAGTGCGTAATTGGAAGCCAATAATAAACGATCGTAAAAGTTAATTGATCGTAAAACGTTAATTATGGTAATTACGAAATATGACGAATAGGTCCGCACAAAATAATTCCAAACTAAAAAAAACATAATTATCCCTTATATGTGACAATGTGATGAAGGTATTTAGGTTTATAACAACAATAATGATTCTTATCACGAAGCATTTATCCCAGAAACTCAAACAAGATCAGGTTTCACCCGTGATGACCAACACGGATTTTACAAAACTCAAAGTCATCCTATTGTTATTAACGAAAATATTAACTCGTATCGGAAATAAATAAAGGTGATTCAGGATAGAAAGTGTGATTCATGAAGATTTTTCGGCGAGAGATGTCCACTAAATTAATTACTGGCAGATCTATGTATGTTAATTAAGAATAATTAAAAGAGAAACAAACCAATTACCAGCTTATTAGCAAATAAACCAAAAGTAAAGAAAGTCGAGGACATTCCTCAAACCCCGATTCAAAAATCTTATTAATCGAAAAATAAACCATCTGCTCACATGTTCGCAAAAGTGGATCAACGAATCCATCATCATTGATGCAATTGTAATTAGGGAGATATATTGCTTGGGAGCGTAAGAGAATGTTTTATGGGTAAAAGTTGCAGATAATTTAATAATTATCATTTTTAAAATGCAGGCCAAGTATCTCTGACACAATAATTGTTTTTTCAAGGCGCGTCTTGATTTTGTGTAAATATATACATAACGGATTATTTTTCTTAGTGAAAGTGTTTGAACTTGGATAGTACACACTGCCAAAAGCACAATACGTACAATTACTTCAATTACACGCTCTTAAACACAAATAATTTCGCTTTCTTTTGACGTAACTGGAAAAAATTGTATCAAAAGTTATCATACATTCTTCTGATTTATTTTTATTAAGTGTCTTAATGTCCAAAATCATAAAATAAAATTGCCTGTCGCCATAAAATTTTAAATTAAAAAATTATTCAAAAAAGTCGCATAGTTTAAGTCTAGACTGTTAAAAAAATCATCATTTAACCCAATTAACCGTTCCAAATTACCACAGTTTGTGAAATGGTTCATATTTGACGGTTTTCTAACCACATGGTAAATGCATCGACTTTCCCAAATTATCAAGTTTTCGTATGCAACACAATTCCACTTAACAAAGAGAAATAATAAACAGAAGATTTACGATTAGTCGAATACATTAAATGTGAAAAAATAGCTTATTATACATCGTGCAATTAATCGTGAGCATACGGTGCATCATATCGAGTATCTCGTGTTAGCTTTGCATCAGATTAAAGATTAAGCGTAACTGCAGCGTGTCTTCCTGCTGGTGGATCAGCCAACCATCCGACAGCATAATTAGGAAGTTGCAAAGGTTGAGCTGTTGAACGAGATTAAACGTATTTGACAGGATATATTCAATTTTTGACATTTTGTTGGAAAAAGATGACAAAAACAAGTTTCAGAAAAATAGTAAACTGAAAAATTAAAGAAATGCCAAAAAAATTAATGGTAGACGTCTGTAAAACAATAAATTATTATTATTTATTTACACGGGTGTAAAAATCGAAATAACCAAAAACCGAATCAAAAAACAAATATTTTTTTTGACTATTTTTATAACGAGTTCTTTTAATGGAAAAGTTAATACAAAAATAAAAAAATTAAATATGACTACTTTGGACAAACTGTACAAAAAATAGGTTTTTGTACACCATACATAATAGTACACAGTGGTTATAAATGATTTTCATCTAGCCAGCGGTGAATTTTCCATGTAAAATAAAAAATGTCGCTTTACGAAAATAGAGGTACCTACTTGTTATAACTCAAAATTACAAAATCGCCGTTTACTAAGCGTCCACTTCGAAAATAGACTTCAATTATAAACTTGTTTTCTTCCAAAGTATACATTATTATCAATTATTATTGGATTTTAGTTGAAACGATAAAAGTTTAGTTAACAACAATTTATTATTAATTAATAAGTGACAGAACTAGAGCTTTAAAAAAAGTAGAGCGGCTCAAATAAAGTTACATGCAAAAAAATTCCAAAGCTGGCTAGATGGAAATCATTTATAACCACTCTGTGTATTATAATACTAGTTTATAAGCACGCCTTTAAAACACGCACGACGGGTTTAAGAGCACGACGCGTCAGCGGAGTGCTTTTAACGTGGTAAGTGTTTTAAAGGCGCTTATAAACGAGTGTTATACGCTATTTTTTATTATTCCTGCCCATTTATGATCTTTTATGAGCATTGAAAAAATGTGAATTTACACAATAAAATTATCAAAGGTTGTTTGTGAGTCGTTTTCGTAGAGACGGTTACTAGTTTACGTTGTTAAGCACATTTTTTCACGTTGTAATTGGTCCAGACATTTCACTATTTCTTGTTACCTTGTCAACTTAAAAATTTCAGCGTGCTATAAAGGCCAAATTACGCACGCTGCAGCGTGTTTTAAATTAGGATTATGATGCAGGTATAATAAAAAATTTAGAAGTAAAATAATATTCAGAGTGTTCCGGCTAAACCCCACATTAAAAGTTTTGGTAGTTCTAACAGTGATATTTATCTAAAATTTTGATTATAGCCATAATCATTTAGATCCTGCTTAATGAAAATATTTTCAAGATGGCAGCATTTCTGGCTACACCAGAAACTTCGTTATTTTAAATAATAATACTCAAGTGATTTTGAGAGAGTTTTTATCAGACTTCCCCTATACCTAAATTTATCCGTTTCTGAAATATTTAGACTTCTTTGAAATCATTTTAATTTGCATTTTCCTCTCCAAAAATTGATAACTCTATCATTTTTAATTACTTTGGAATCGTATTTGGGCATATCAAAAAAGGTTAAATATTTTCTTTCGGGTATTTATCATTGAAGAAATAATTAACCAAAATTTAAGGTCACGTTTGGGAAACTTCAAATACCCATAACTGAATTTGTTCAAAAAAAAGGCCGCAATTTTTTCTTTACTAAATTTTTCTTATTTTTATGACAACCTATGCTAAAGTAGCTAAGGCTAATGAATTTCTCACAATATCAAAAGAAGTTACTATAACTTGAAAACTATCAAACATAGGTACATACATGAATGTTAATACAGATCGAAACAAAACTAAATTCTCCTCCATTTAGTGAAGAAAAAACTGGGATGTTTCGTTTAGAAAAATTGAGTTAAGGGTATTTGAAGTTTCCTAAACGTAACCTTACATTTTGGCGGTTTGTTAGTTTTTTTGCCAGTTATGAATACACCAAAGGAAGGACCTAACCTTTCTGTCTCGTATACCCAAATACGGTTTCAACATAATAAAAAATTATGGAGTTATCAATTTTTGAATAAAAAGATTCAAATCCAAAAAATTTGAAGGTCTAAATAATTCGAAAACGGTTAAACTTAGGTATGGGAAAAGCCATTGAAAACTTTCAAAATCTCTTAATAATCCAAAATCCAAAAATCCAAAAATGCAATAAAAAACATAGCATTCTATTTAAAATAACGAAGTTGATATCCACTTCCGGTGTATCAGGAAGCGGCGCCATCTTGAAAATATTTTCATTGAGCAGAACCTCACCAATTATAGAAGTAAACAAAATTTTAGATAAATATTATTGTTAGAACTCCCAATACTTCTAATGTGGAGTTTAGCCGGAACAGACTCTATATAAAAACTTCTATTTTTGACACAAAAAGATAAGATGTTTCAAATTTTTAGATATATTATTGACGTTTTTGTTCTGCTTTATTTTTTGTAGATAACTGTAAGAAAAATATTTTTTCTAAAAATAATGAGACATTCAAATTTTTTAACAAATATTTCTGTTAAAAGGCAAATCCAAAATTTTTTGTTTAAAGTTTAGAATTTGTCTTTTAACAAGGCCTTTGCTCAAGTCACTAACCGCAGTATTTACTATCTTTTTCTAATTATTTTAGTTGCTCTTTATCAAAGTAAATTGGCCAAATACAGAAACTTCTGTTTTATTCTGTTCTTCAAACTTAAATATTTTTACTTTTTTTACAATTTATTCTCAAACAATGTGACTATTTTCAAACACATAAAAATTAAATGAGGCCTAAAGATAAAATATCTATAAAACATAAACCAATAAATTAATACGTAATTATATTTTTGTTTTTTTAATATACTTGTTATGCTAGTAATAACTAATGTCCTTAAAAAATAATGAAAATCATATTCTTGAACATAATATATTGGAAAAAAATTGTTGAAATAACTTTCTCTGCAAAGTACCAAAACTAGAAAATGTTGCATCTGCTTGACTATTTGTGTGAAAATCCAAATGTTTTTAAACAAAATAAGTAATAAACTACACGCGTTGTAATAAACATAAAAAGTAAAATCTCTGCAATAAAATATCGAGCGTTTTAATTTCATCACATCTAATTCAATTATGTGAAAATATGTAGTGTAATGTGTTATATTATAAGCCAGTTTTAAGCACCTCTGGCATCTGTTCCCATCTAATTAATTCGAAAATTCCTGTATACAATACAGAATCTGTTCTTTTTCTTCAATTACAAGCAATTAAATTAATGTTTCTCACTCGCTAACATTGAATAAATTAATTGAAAAGTTGTAATATGATACAGGACACACGCATTGAAATTGAAATTACTCTTTTAAGCATGAAAGCTATTTAATTACCTGTCTATAACCTACAATTACATTTACAACCATCAATTATAAATTCAAATTACCCAACAATCTGCATAATTTTTTCAAATGACGTTTAGCAATTATAACATTTTGCATAATAAATTTTGACGAAAGCATCATAGAATGACTCTTATTTCCAAACTAATTAAAAATGAATAGATGTGATGAACCCGACTGTAAGGATTTTGATTGTGCTTTATTGTGCCAGTCATCAATTATTTTTTTGTTGAGGCATGCAAGGATGAAGATATTTTATTTTATTTTCAATGGTGTCTAAATAGACAATTACAGGTTTCTCCTTTGTTCTACCAATAGCACACATTTTTCAAATTTTATTCCCTAAAGAGACTTATCCACTCCCAGCCATTTCTCTAATTAATCACAAACACATTGACTGTTAGAGAAAATAGAAGTATTTATTTCCGAAAATAACTCAACTGTTCAGTCGACTTGAAACGCTCCCATCTCATCATTCATGAAACACAATGCTAGTGTTTGTGATCATAATCTCACTCCATTTTCACAAATTTTCTGAAGCTGAAACTCTCAAAATCGGTGAGTTTTCCAATTTTCCACCAAATCAGAAAAATTAATATTTTTAAGGAGCCATATTCGACACTGAGAGCCTCATCAAAGAACGGGCCTTTTACCATGCCATCCGTCAAATCGAGCCCATCAATGGGCGAAAAATCGAAGGTCTAGTCCAAAATGTTCCTCCAAATGACCCATTTGAAGCCACGCTAGCAGCTTGTCATCTCATTGAAAGTGGTGTGCTTGCAATTCTGGGTCCTACGACCCATGAAAACTCCCATATGATCCAAACTGTGTGTGACAACAAAGATATACCACTCTTGGATGTGCGATTTGTTGTCCAACCCAAAAACTCAATCAGTTTCTACCCTTCTCAACAAATTTTAACTCAGATTTATATCGACTTACTTGAAGCTTGGAATTTTAAAAATTTTGTCATTTTGTACGAAAACGACGAGAGTTTGATAAGAATTGCAGAATTGTTGAAATTGTATGACGGAAATGGGCATAAAATGGTCGTGAGACAGCTTGATAAGTACCAAAATGGTGATTATAGGTGAGTTTGATGGGTTTGATGAGAAGTTGGCGGAAATCCAACTAAATTCAACGAATTTAAAATTGAAAGTAAACAATTAGAGAACAATTTGTGTTTGAAATTCGAAACAATTCTAAATTTATCAATTTTGACATAAAATTTTATGACATGTGTAAATATAGACAGTTACAAAGTTTTGATGTGTTACCACAAGTTTAAAATTATTTCAATAAACTTTGCTTTTTGGTTTGGTATATCTCAGTTTTAATGCTTTTTCTAAAAATATTTTTATTTAATTATCTTCACCCTGCTTAATATATTTGATTAAAATTTTTTTTTTTGAAAAAATCACTAAAACGACAAAAAAAATCAAAATGCGTTACTTGACTCTTAGTCAACTTTTTCAATTTTTTTCTACAGAAAATGCTAAAATTACTGAGTAGTAGTAGTAGCCAGCAGATTAAAACGTGAAAATAAATGTGCAAAATGTAAGAGAAGAATATTTGTATTGATTTGTCAAAAATTTTAGAAAATATTTCTGAAGTAAAAACAGTACATTTCTACAGAAAATCACTAAAGTATATCTCTTAAAAACACTGAATAACAAACTAAAAACTTGAAACATAAAATTTTGTATTTAACCATGTAATTATTGTTAATTATTGTCACAATATTGTCAAATCTGATCTGTGGAAGAAAGGGAATAACACTCATGACCAAACAAAAATGGTTGAAAGTAATTGAGAATATCTAAGAATTAGATATTTTTAGATATTTATACTACGCTCAAGAAAATAAATAAAAGTGTCGCCTGTAACCGAAGAACTAAAGCTTCGTAGAAAAATTTAAATGTTCATCTCCAGAGTGCACTAAATTTTTCTGCAGGAAGAAAAATTCAAACCGAGCTTTCCACAGTTCTCTAGCTTCAATAAACTCAGAGCTTTGTGCACAGATGGCGTCAAGCACTTTTACGTTAAATTCGATGTGTTAGTTAAAAATAAAATTCTAATTTTAATTCCCTTTTCACTAATTGACAAAAAATGTCTCATTATTTGAGACAAGACTATAAATAATATCCGTTTAATGATTTCCTGCTATCCATTTTGCCAACTTTCATCCGAATTTAATTCAGTTTAATTAATTGTAGGCCAACACTGAAAGAAGTGTGGCAATCTGAAGCAACACATTTTGTATTAGATTGTTCCACTGATATTTTAGAGGACGTTTTGCATCAAGCCCAACAAGTGGGCCTTGTGACCAACAAACAATTTTATATAATTACTAATTTGGACTTCCATACGCTCGACTTGACGTCTTTTCAATACTCAGAGACGAATATTACCGGAGTAATAATTTAACTAAATTAAATTCAATGTAATTAATTTAAAAATATTATAGATGCGATTTATTGATCCAGACAGTGATACAATTAGAAATTTGGGACTTACACTTTTTCGAAATGACTTCACAAATCTCGAATCTGGGTTTATAGAGGCTTGGAAGATTAAGTTAGAGATGGCTTTAATTATTGATGCTGTTATGATGTTTGGTGAAGCCTTAAATGGACTTCCGAAAAATTTTGCAACACCTTCTATCGATTGCATGTCGGCCGAAGCTTGGACTTACGGCACTACTCTCACAAATTTAATTAAATCAGTTAATTGAAACATTTTAATTAAGTACTTAAATTAGAGATAATTTCCAGATTAACTATCCCGGTTATACAGGACTAATCCAATTTGATAATTTTGGACTTCGCTCAGCTTTTGGACTTGAAATAATAGAACTAAAAGAAGGCGGAATTATCAAAGTCGGTAACTGGAACTACTCTGATGGTTTAAACTTTAACAGGGTTTACTCACCTAATCCCCCACCACTTGAAGTGGGTAGTCTAATAAATAAGACATTCATCGTAATCACTTGTCTGGTAATTATCCACAAAATAACAAATTTTAACTAATGTAAAACCCAGACAGAACCATATGGTATGAGAAAAGAATCAGAAGTACCTTTACATGGAAACCAGCGTTATGAAGGCTTTGGTATTGATTTAATAGCAGAATTGTCAAAAAAATTAGGTTTTAATTACACTTTCATTATCCGCGAAGATAAAAAAAATGGAGAGTACGACGAGACTACCGGTCAATGGACTGGAATGATAGGTGACATCATTAATGGGGTAAATAATTTACATCCAAAGATTTGTATAATATATTATTTAACTTGAGCAGAAAGCCGATTTAGCAATTACTGACTTGACCATCACCTCAGAAAGGGAATCTGCGGTCGATTTCAGTACCACTTTCATGAGCTTAGGTAAGAAATCTTAATTTTGATTTTTTTGTCATTGTTTTATCTACAGGGATCAGCATTTTGTACCAAAAACCCAAAAAAGCTCTCCCTAGTTTCTTCTCTTTTGCTGATCCTTTCTCACTCACAGTTTGGAAACTCCTCGCAGCTGCTTTCTTCGGTGCCTCTATTGCGTTGTTTATTTTGGGCCGAATTTCGCCAAGTGAGTGGCAAAATCCGTATCCATGTGTCGAAGAATCAGAGTTTTTGGTCAATCAATTGAGTTTGAGGAATTGTTTCTGGTTTATGGTTGGAAGTTTAATGCAACAAGGATCAGAAATCGCCCCAATGTAAATTCCAACTACGAAATAACAATCAAAAATGGATCTTTGTAGAGCTTTCTCAACAAGGATGGTCGCAGGAACGTGGTGGTTCTTTACTCTAATCATGGTGTCGTCATACACGGCCAATTTGGCCGCGTTTTTGACAACTGAAAGTCCAGATAGTCCGTTTAAAGACGTATTTGAGTTGGTTCAAGTAGCTGAAAAAAAGGGAATCAAATTTGGGGCAAAAATTAACGGTTCTACGGAAAAATTTTTTCGGGTATTGATATTCAAAAAAATTCTCTTTGTCCTGATTTTGGTTTCAGGATTCCAAACATATCGACGAGTACCAAAAAATCTACCAATATATGAAAAATCATGAGGATGAAGTGATGGTCAACGACAATAAAGATGGTGTCTACAAAGCAGAACACGAAAACTATGCTTTCTTTATGGAGACAACTTCAATAGAGTATGAGACACAAAGACGTTGCAGTTTGTCCTCAGTCGGCCACTCTTTGGATGAGAAAGGATACGGAATTGCAATGCGAAAAAGTACTTTTTCATTACATCGAGATTCTAACTCAGACTTTTTTGATTTTTGATTATATTTTTATTAACTAATGATAAACCAGTTTTCTGTATTATATTAAATCCAAAAATTTTTTGTGTTAGACTCGTCATACAGAACGGCCTTAAGCACCGCCATTTTGAAACTCCAAGAAGAGGGAGTTTTGGCAAAACTGAAACGCAAATGGTGGGAAGAGAAGCGAGGAGGTGGCCTATGCCCGGTACAAAAGTCCATTTTTCAGTAACATAATAATAAAAAAAATTGCAGCAACAAGACAAAGCAGCCGAAGGAACTCCCCTCAACCTCAAAAACGTTGGAGGAGTTTTCTGTGTGACAATAATTGGGACTGTGCTCTCTTGTATTCTAGTTTTCATCGAAATGGTTTTACATACCTTTAAAAAATCGCTTCATGTCAAAAAACCGTTCAAAGTGTTACTAATGGAAGAGATTCGGTTTTATTTTAGAACTTCAGCCATGCTAAAACCTGTCACTTCCCCCAAACCTAAACCCCCCGATTACGGATTTATCACGTCTTAATTGTATTAAGTGTCACAGTTTGTGATTAAAGTATTCCATCTAAATATTTTGTTTCTAATTTTAGCAGGTTTAAATCGAGGAAAAGTAAAAATAGACTTGTGCAGTGTCTCCATGTTACAGTACAATAATGTGGTGCTTTAGTTTGATAGTGTTTTTCGTAACTTGTTCGCAATTTCTGGCCCAGGAAGAAGACAGAAAGGAAATTTTTTTGGGTAAAAATCTGAAAATACTCGACTTGACTTTACACTAAAATTTAGGCGGAATTTTCACCGAATCTTCGGATTTAGACGACTCAGTCCTCACTGATGAAGAGGCGTTTAATTTTGCCATCGATATAGCAAATCGAGAGTACACCGATGTAAAATTTACAGCAGTGATTGAGGAAAGTGATGCAAGATCCAATGGCCCTTTTGACTCTCGTCTCAAATCCTGCTCTCTCGTCAACCAACAAGCTTTGGTCATTTTTGGCCCCAAAAACGAAGAGGAGATTGACATCGTTCAATCAATCTGTGATTACAAAGACTTAGCACATGTTATCACCCGATGGGTCTACAACTCGGCTGACTATCGCAGTGTTATTAATTTTTACCCCCATTCGGCATACCTGACTTCGGCTTACTTCAGCGTTTTAATGCTATGGGAGTGGAAAAGTTTTACAGTATTTTACGAAGATGATGAAAGTATTTTACGGCTTGCCGATCTGTTAAATCTAGCAAAAAATGAAGGGATTATAGTGACAGTAAAACAACTTTATGAAGGACTAAATGAAACACCAGTTTACAGGTGAGTTCTCTCAAATATTTGACAAATTTTATTGTGTGGTAGAACAACACTGAAGGAAGCGGTGCGTTCGGGTGAGAAAAACTTTATCATCGATTGCAAAATCGAGAACTTGGAGGAAGTACTAATACAGGCCCAACAAGTCGGATTGATGACCAGCGATTATAATTTTTTTATCACAAATTTGGACTTGCAAACGATCGATTTGGAGCCGTTTCAGTACAGCGAGGCCAACATCACTGGGGTTGGTGTACGAAATTGTGTCCAAATTTGTGATTTTTTTAATTCCAGTTGAGGATTTTGGACCCCTTGAATGAAATGTTTCATGTCAAGGCTGGGGCAATATTGAGACAAAAACCCAATTTTAATTTAATGAAAATGAGGACTGAGACGGCTCTTTTGATAGATGCAGTGTCTGTAATCACGCAAGTTATCAATAGAAAATTATCAATCAAAGATATGGAAATGGTTGATATCACCTGCAACTCTCCAAAGTCGTCCCGGCATGGTTATACTATCGCCAATCACGTGAAAACGGTTTTTGTCACACTAGTGTAACCTTAAAATTACTAAATTTTTTAGAGTAAATATGACGAGATGACCGGCAGGATCGAATTTGATGGCAATGGATTTCGGAGTAATTTCAATCTAGATATAATAGAACTGACCCAAGAAGGAATTTCCAAAATTGGAACTTGGAACATGTCTAAAGGCCTTGTCATGTTGTCACACAAAGTCGAGGATGTTGTCGAAGATCCTTTCAGTCTCAGAAACAAAACTTTTAAGGTCATTACTTGCTTGGTAAGTGCGATTTTTGGTGATTGAATTTTAGAGGAAAAACCCTATTTTTTAGACCGACCCCTACTGCATGCTCAAAGAAACTTCAATTCAATTGTTCGGAAATGACCGCTTTGAAGGCTTCGCCATTGATTTGATCCACGAATTATCACTAATGGAAGGCTTTAATTACACTTTTATACTAAGAGAAGATAAGCAAAACGGTGATAAAAATCAGTCAACTGGAGAGTGGTCGGGAATGATTGGAGACGTCATAGATGGGGTTAGAAAAAAATATCAATAGTTTTTTTATTTTTTTATTGTCTAGGTTGCTGATTTGGCAATCGCTGACCTAACAATCACAGCAGGACGAGAAGAAGCTGTTGATTTCACGTCACCATTCATGAATTTGGGTACCATAGTCTTAAATATTTTTTTCGTCTAAATCCCAATTTTCAGGGATTAGTATTTTGGCCCAAAAACCAGGAACCGCCCCTCCGAGCTTTTTCTCCTTTGCCGATCCGTTCGCTCTCGACACATGGATCATGATAGCCTTGGCTTACGCCGTCGTGTCCGTTTCCTTTTTTATTTTAAGTAGGATTTGTCCGGACGAATGGACAAATCCTTATCCTTGTGTTGAAGAACCCGAATTTTTGATCAACCAGTTCAGCCTTTCTAACTCTTTCTGGTACGCTGTTGGAAGTTTGATGCAACAAGGAACAGAACTAGCTCCTATGTAAAAAATAAAAATATCAATTTTTGACAATTACTCATAATCGTTTAGAGGCGTTCCTACTCGAATGGTCGCTGGAATGTGGTGGTTTCTCATTTTGATCATGGTGTCCTCATACACGGCCAGTTTAGCAGCTTTTTTGGCTAACGAAAACACAATAACTCTTTTTACTGATGTTGACACTTTGGTGGAAAATTATCAAGAAAAAGGTATAAGAATGGGAGCAAAGGCTAAGGGCGCGACTGAAGGATTCTTCAGAGGGAAAGATCGTGAAGTTTATAAAACTATCGCTAAGTATATGGAAGAGCATCGAGAAGATATGGTCGGTGATAATAAAGATGGAGTTAAATTGGCTAAAACAGAAAATTATGCTTTCTTCATGGAATCAATTTCTATTGAATACGAAACCCAACGTCATTGTGAATTGCAACAATATGGCGGACTTTTAGACGACAAAGGTTATGGAATTGCCATGAGAAAAAGTAAGCCAAAATGAGATCAAAATTGTGTGTTCGAGAATCTAGAATATTCTGTTCTAGATTCGACCTATCGGAAGACTCTAAGTACAGCTATTTTAAAAATGCAATCGTCAGGCCAACTCGATAAACTCAAACGAACGTGGTGGGAGGAGAAACGTGGCGGTGGTCAATGTGTTGTAAGTTTTTTTCTGAAATATTCTTCTTTAAAAAATTCTTTAGGGCGGTGGTGATGATGAAACCCCTGCTTTGGACGTTCGAAATGTCGAAGGTGTGTTCTACGTTACTATTGGAGGCACAATCTGTGCCATTTTTCTCGTTCTCTTAGAATTCTTCGCCTCTTTACTTAAGTTGAAGAAAAAATACAAAATTCCAATTAGGGAAGCCCTCAACAATGAGAAAAAAGCTTTCATCGATTTTAGCAGTAACGTAAAACCTGCACCCAAAGCCAAATCCAAATCTGGAAGCAAATCATCGGGAGAGAGTGGCAAAACAAATAATAACACAGGTGCCCCCACTTATGGTTTCATACCGACCATAACCAAAGACACACTTGACGAATAATTGAATTTTTCTAAAAGTGTCACAATAATTCATCACTGTCAAAAATTGTGTAATCGTCTGGCCCACTTTTTGCCGAATTATAGATTCGTGTGAGACGAACATCTTTCACAAGTACATTGTTAACGTCGTTTCAATGGAATTGTCGATTGTTGCTAAATTTTACAATGAATTGAATTGGTTCGGAATAGCACACTAATTTCAAATTTATTTGAGCGAAGATATATCATTAAACTAAATAATCACGAAAGCGTTTTAAAGTGCAGTTTATGTAAAATTTAATGCCACTCGGGTGAATATTAATAAAGGAAATTAATTCAAGATAGCCAAGAAAGCTTGACACTTGAACATTTTTGGCGACATCAAAATTACGACATAAAAAGTTCATATTTCGTTTATTCAAATCTTTTCAAAATATTTTCAAATTGTTTACTAACCTTACAATAATCTTATTTTTTTTTAATAATTGATGTAAATATAGTTTTTAAAGTTAGCTTATAATTAATTCATTATAAAACAATCAATTTCACAGTCACAATGACTAATTGTCTTTTTGCTTAAGTATAATAATAATTTTAGAAATTTAACAGCTTTGCGAAACTAGAAGTCAGTGGCGGTTCGTAGTCTTTTATTAAAAGAAGGCAGGCAGGCAAATTGATACACATGCCATATGCTTGACGATTTAAAAATGATTCTTCGCTTTGCTGATCGCGAAAAGGAAACTTTTAACAGCAAAGAAAAACACAAAAATCGACTAACCTTTTTGAAATTTTCAATTTTTCAACGATTTATTAAATTTATTAATTTCAATTTGCGGGGCCGAATCTACATTTGTGGCTATATTTTATTTACCCTGGAGATGTAATTTGCTACTCATACTCATTTACTACTCATTTCTGACTTTAAGTGTGTCTTTCTATTGCCCTTGGTATTTTTTTAAGTTGTCATGCCATGCTTCCTCACCACGATTTGAAAATGGCCAAAAAAATATTTTTTTTTCTGTTTTGCTTTTGCTCATATTTAATATACCAGGAATTTACAAAACTATATTAATAATTAATTTTCCTATAATCCTAAAAGAAAGTAAGTTTTTCCACCCTAATTTTAGAAAGGAAAGTGGCCAATTACCTCCCTCAACTGTCAAAATTACATTAAAAATATATAAAACCTCTCGGGGAGGTAGAAAATTTACCTCCCCCATATAAACTGAAAAACATGCTGCTGGATTTAATGGCAAAACTAGGATAATAAGATAAATTGTTAGTATTGAAGTTTTTCTTGCTGGATCGTGGGAAAAATTATATGTATTACATGGGAGGAAAGTGTCTTTTTCTCCCTAGGTAGTTGTCCTTGACAAGTCGTATTTGATTCATTTGACAAGTCAATAACTTCCACCTGTGGGAAGAAAAAATACACTTTCCTCCCCTGTAATACAAATCAATATTATTTAAGTCTTGATGAGGTGCTCCCAATTCTTTTGCATATAACTTATCGTCGTACAAAAGTCGAGAAAATTTATTTGTTATTAAATTGAACGATACCCAACAATTTCTATAGTTACCTTCTTCATAGAAATATCCATACTTAAGAAGCACATATTCACTTATTTTGACAACAACCAAACACTACAGTGCATTTTGCATTTTTTGCAATCTTGGATTATTGCAAAAAACACCGTTGCAAAAATAGTGACCTGCGCACTGCTTACCAGAGCCGTGAAAGCGCGGCGGTTTATTTAAAACTAGTTCACTATTATTTATAGCAAAAATAAAAAATTATTAACGTTAAAATTATATAAAAATTGTAATGTACGATTCAAAAATAGTCAAAATTATTTAAATTTCTAGTAAACTATTTTATTTTTAACTTCTATTTTCATGAGCCGCCACTGCTAGAAGTGGATTTATTCGTAAGTTATATTATTTTTAAGGATAACTTATTTACATCAAAATTTTTCCATATTGACCAAAATTTGCATTAGAAGTAAATATAACTTAGTAGTAAAAATATAAATAAAAACACTAAATCGTTTAAGGTATTATCAAAGTGACCAATATTTTTTAATTAAAGTTTCTTTAGTAGCAATCAGAATGAATTAATTTTTTGTAAAATCTACAATAAACATGGTCTTTAATCTAGAAATAAAACTTTGTTTAATATTTTTACAGTGTAATCCAAAATCTCTTTAATTTGTTCCTTATAAACCCAAATAAAGATTCTCACAAATGTAATAAATGACTCAATTTTTTTAAACCCCCTCACCCCTCTATCGATTTAATTGTATCTAAGCAACTCGAATTAGTTAACTAGTCCGCGTCAACACAGAAGTGACAGAATACGATGAAAGTGACCGATAACGAAACTCGGTAATTCTTCTAATCATAATAATTAGTTCATTAATCTATTCCTCGTAGTTGGGCAAAAATCGGCGAAATCAAAGACTTATCGTTCATCGGCAAAGAAGTCGTTTTTTATGGCACGGGCTGTCATCTCATTTTTATCAATTTAAGCACCAGCGAAGAGCTTTTATACACAGCAAACAATGCAAAAGTCGGTGATGGGATCCAGTGTTTTAATGGCCATAGAACCAGCCCTGTTTTCGCATTCGCTGAGAAAAAAACAAATCCGACGCTGTTTATCAAGAGTTACCCAAACTTTGACGAAATCCACCAATTCAAAGATGGCGCAGCTCGAGGGTACATTGCGGTGGCTTTTTCGGAAACTTCCCTCCTGATCACATTAGGGGATTTACCCGATTTTAATATAACCGCCTGGAATTGGCGACGACACGAGAAAATCGCCAGTCAAAACGGCACAATCTTGATGCAAAATCAAGCCTTGAGGTAATCACAATCTTTGTGTGTTTTGGATGTCCGATTGTCCGAATAGGGAATCTCCAAAACTAAGAAGTTTAGCTAAAAACGAGTGATACATTCTGGAGCTCATTTCTTGAAAAAATAATATTGAATGAAACCCCATTCCGTTATCGTCTTGAGTTTTCAACTTACAGACAAAAGTTGACATTTTAGCAAAATCTAAAAAAATTCGTATCTTCGTTATTATAGAAGACACAGATCTGAAATAAAGACATTAGAGGCACTTTTTACGTAGAATTTCATAATGTAGTTAACAATTTTTTTTAGTTGTTTGTTTAGCTGTAATAAGATAAACATTTATTTTTTTAAATGGGTATCATGGATGACTATGTCATTTTTAAAAACCTTGTTTGTGTCATAACTAAGAAATATATACAGGGTGTCCCACGAGTAATAATGAGCCTGAAACATTACATTTTATAGATAACGTGGATATTAAAATATTTTGTTTTAATTAGTTAAACATAGTAATTGTATTTTTATTTTTGACAAATTTCTATCAGTTAAAATGACCACTCCAGTTTTAGAAAGTCCGTCTAACAAAATGATTACATATTTTTTTAAACCCAAAAATACGAAAAACAAATGTGTCAACAGATAACACAATTAGAAAAAAAAAATTGATAGTCTAATGGAGGTAGGATAACGTTCCACATAGACGGAATTTGGGTATTTGAATAGCTATATCGTCATTTTTGTGTCATATAAAATATATTTTATTGAAGGATTAAAGCGGCTTTTTTACAACACTCTATTTGTCACTAGAAGTTACAATGGCAATGTTAACTTGTTTAAAAACAAGGAAATGTTATTAGTCACCAATAAGTTGATTTACGGATTATTTTGCATTTTTTTCATTACTTAGTGCTAAGAAAACTATTTCATTAGTGACACTTGTTGAATAATATAGTTTAAATTCTTTTAGTTGAAGATGCAACATTTTTTCATGGTCAACTGCGAACAAAAATCAAAGATAATTTTTTTGCTCAAAATGTATTATAAAAAACTGTTACAGATATATATTTTTAGATAAGAAAAAAACAAGCTTTTAAAAAATGTTATTGCCATCTATGATTCCCATTTAAAAAAATACAAGTTTATCTTATTACGGCTAAACAAATAACTGAAAAAAATTGTTAACTACATTATTAAATTCTTCGTAAAAAAGTGCCTGTATAATGTCTTTATTTTAAATCAGTGTTCTCTATTTATAATAACGAAGACATGAATTTTTTTAGATTTCGCTAAAATGTCAATTTTTGTCTATAAGTCGAAAACAAAAGGCGATAGCGGGATATGGTTTCAACCAATATTATTTTCTAAAAAATAAGCCTCAGAATGTATTACTCGTTTTTGACTAAACTTCTTAGTTTTGGAGATTCCCTTTTCGGACATCCAAAATGCCTTGTACGATTTTTTTTTTTGTAGATGCAACCTTACCAGCCCGGTTTTTTTGGCACAAATGGGTCTCCACAGTAACAAACTCCACGTCTGGGACATTTTCGTCTGTGGTAAAAAATGTATTTTGACACAACATGTAGTGCGCATCGAGGAGAATTGCAGCCCTTTTACAGGAATTGTGTGGACAACTGAAGGAGGGCTTTTTGTTTTAGATGCCTCAGGCTCTATCTACACGGTAAATTTTCACTTTTGGCTTAATTAGATCCAATGTGGGTCACTAAATGAAGATGTTGAAGTGTAGAAAAAATAAAATTCAATCAATATGTTAATGAGACCAGATGGGTACGAGTGATAATTAAGATTAATTAATAACCGAAAGTATCTGATTGCTTATCTGGATAAATGTCGACCAAAAAAAAAAAAGAAAACGCAAAGATTTAAAAGATATGAAGATAACTTGTAACGCAGTTGTGTCGATTTAGTTGCCTACGAAAACAATATGGTAGTTACTTGCAAATAATTAATTCCAATTCAATTAATTGGATTATTGTAATTCTTTTATTATTGAAGAAATGGAAAGCTGATTTTTAAAAACATTAATCTGTTACTAACATACATGATGTCCCAGCGAGTTGAAAAAGTCCATTAGTGACCTTTAAATGGTAAAATTAAAAAAAAATGTATAGGACATTGATAGATACTAATCTAGTCCAACGCCTAAAATATTTTTAACTATACAGCGTCTCTCAAAAATAAGTTACAATACAAACTTGTGTTTTTTTAAATGAAACACCACATCATGTTTCTTAGCATTTTTAGATGTAGATTTTTACGACAATGTTTTTAAGCTAAACTTGGTTGGACGTTTTTTTTGACAAAAACATGCACTTTTTAAAAATTTATTACACAAAAACTAAGACAGCTCGAACAAATTTTTCCTTAGTTCTGTAAACAGGAAATTGCAGAATTTAAAGCTGTAGCAATTTTTAGTGTTTTGCGTTTGTAAAGATTAATAAATTAAGAAGTTTGTTAAAAGTTAAATAACTTAAAAAAATTAAATGGAACATCCTATTTTTTATTTTTGCATCTAATAGATTGGCTGATTGATAAATTGTCTATCTAAAAAAATAAACTTTTAATGTCTAGATGTGATAAATGAAAAGATATTTAACATTCAATATCAATTGTAGCAACAATGTCTATCCATATCTGATGAGCATTGTTAATACTGTGGCAACCATAGTAATTCCACCACGGATCACTTATCCGTTGATTTATCCAGAGATTGGAAAAGTCGTTATAAATACTGAAATTCGAATTATTTTATTGTAAAAAACAATAAATAGGGTGTTCCATTTAATTTTTTTAAGTTATTGAACTTTTAACAAACGCCTTAAAAACATCGTCATAAAAATCTACATCCCAAAATGCTAAGAAACATATGATGTTTTATTTACAAAAACTCAAGTTTGTATTGTAACTTTCTTCTTAGACACGCTGTATAGTTGAAAATAATTTTAGGCGATGGACTAGACTAGTATCTATCAATGTCCTATACAGTTTTTTTTTATAAATTTTACCATTTTATTTAACCAATTGTTTATAAAAAACATTATCCAGATGTTTCCCGACCACCACTTGGAAAAAGTGATAGATTCCCCCGACTCTGGTCCTTACCCCACCTCCTTCACTTGGTACAAATTCGGTCTTGCCGTCGCAGGTCCAAACCTTGAAATTCGGGTAAAACCTAGCAAAAAATTAAGCAAAAATTAACATTCCTATTTCAAGCACTATAAAAAATCCGGTACTTGGACCATGGATTGGTCATTAGTACCACCACAACCAATCCAGAAAATTCAATCCAGATTCGATTATTTGATCGCAATAACGACAAAATTTGACCTGATTCAAGTAATGCCAACACAGAACGATTTCAAATATGTGAAAATAAACGAATCCCAATTTGACGACTTTTGTCTGGTTTACCCCACTGGGGAGTATCTCTTAGCTCTGACTCACAATCATATGGTTAATTCCTACAAGGTGGCAACTGGAGAAATGGTAATTTACATGTTTATACAGGTGTTTCAGAACTTGCGCCCTAGAGACAAATATGAAGTAAGATAAGATACCAGAAACATGAAAAAAATGTTTAAAAAATTCTGTCAACACAATTTAACAAATTGTTTTTCCGACTAAAATAAATAGAGCCTAAGTGCAAAATTTAAACTCCCATAATTTCGAAATTTTTATAGATAGAATTTTTTAAATTTTGTCCATGTTCCTGGCATCTTACCTTACATAGCATTTTTCTTTAGGGCGCGAGTTCTGAAACACCCCATATAGATGTTAAATCTAGTTTAGTAACTCCAGATGGGCACAATCGAACTTGATGGAACCGCAACAGTGATCGTTGAAAACCCCAAATTCCCGTATGCCGCTGTTGGTTTTGAAAGTGGAATCCTCAATTTAGTCTCGGCTTATAATCCTCAAAAACTGACAAAAATGACCCAGTTTTTCCTCACAAAACATCCCACAAACAGCATCCGATTCAACGAATGTGGCACCGTTTTCGTAGTAGGCCATTTGACAATCGGGCGTTTTTTCGTAGTCGAGGGAATCCCCGGAGGCCAAATGGAAGTTATAGCTTTAATAGATGCCCAAAGACAAATCGCCGACTACACTATAGTTATCTCCCAAGACTGCTACCGGATTTTCATGCTTCCGGTAACCTCCGACCAATTCATAGCCGGAAACATGATCCTTCGGTATTGCTACATCAAAAACAAGGGAACAGACGTAAAAGAGTATTTTTTTGAAGAGAAAAACACGCTTTTTGTGCGAATGGTTGCAACAACTGGAGTTAACAGAGACCGATTATTTTATCTAATCCCGCTAGAGGGTAAAACAATCTCTGAGGTTGAAATCAAAAAGAGCGAAATTTTAGCCAAAATCACCAAACACATAATCACTGGCCACCAAATGCAAAATATTTATTTCCGGCTTGATAAAAAGATTGCTTTGACTTGGGGATACGATGGGTTTGTTATAGCACGAGGAGCAGATTTTGAGACCAACATCGGAATTGGGTTACCCCACCATAGAATGCAAGGAGGAGTCAAAAAAGCTTATTTAGGGCCCCATCAAAAATACATGATAACACTTGGAAGAGACACAGTTTTAGCGTGCACAAACCTAATGGAAAGGCGAATCGATTCAAAATTGAAGCAAGAATTTGAAGACACTTTAAATTCTGACGATTACAAACTCCTTTTCACCAGACGAACTTTAGGATATTTTCCTCGAGGAATTTACGAAGGAAAGTGTTACTTAGAGGTACAAGAAATGAAAAAAATAGAAAAGGAGTATCTTCAATGTAAAAAAGAACGAGACTCGATTTTGGCCGAATTTCGATCAATACAAAAAGAACTCCAAGAGTTGCTAACAGCAAATCTTGAAGGCCCCGATAACGAAAAACTTGACATGAAAGAATTCAATCTAAATACAACCCTATATAACCAAAAGGCCGAGTTTAACAGAAAATTGAAGAAAGCCACTGAACTATACTTAAAAAATCTGATCCAAGCCCAAAATATGATTTCCAACTATATGGTTACTAACTTTTGGGACAAAATGAAGGTCCCCGGAGCTGCGATTAAGGCCATCTTTGCCAATTTCGAGGTGACAAATTATGTTTTGCGACCGCCGGACCTTAACCGCGAAGAGGTTCTCAACTGGATTAGACACCAGAGACGAATCGAGCGATATTTGAGTGAAATGAACTCATTTCATCCGTGGGAACCCATGCCTGAAGAGTATGACTTTTTTTAAGTTTCCTCAAATTTTAGTCAATTTGTAGCAAATTGTTGGAGTTGGTGTCAACTCGACCGTCACTCCCGATCAAAGACGAGCATTTGGCCGTACTGTCGGCGCTTGAAATCGACGCTCCGGAAATTGAGGTTGAGGAGGAAGACTTTGAGTCGAAAATTGCATTTTCCGGATCAGACACTGCGAGATTTATTGAGGTCCAGGACGCTCACTATTTGCAAAACGAGCTCCAAACCTACTTCCAAACTGAACTACAGTGGATTATTTCTAAAGTACATTGTTTTTTTTGTGATTCCAATAGAGTTAACGATTGTTTCAGAGCGATTCTTACAAGTTGAAAGAATTCTTCAATGAAAAATACGAGAAGGTTATGTTACAAAAAATGAAAGAAATGACAAGTATCAAGCAGAAGAATGAGCGTCTGCGCCATATAGTCTCAGAAATCAATTACTTTTCCGATGAGAAAATCTATGTAAACATTGATGATCCCCATTGGGAGCAAGTGGAAACTCCAGAACTTTTAACACAAGTCAAGGATTGTGAAGTACCGGTAACTCCCTATATTTCACCAAGTGAGCAAGCAATTCTTGATGCTAAAGCAGCAGAAGCCGAAAGACTGCGTCTGCTACTCCTCGCTGATGATTTTCGTGAAAGAGCCTTAATGGCTATGATGAACGGAGTTTTGGAAGTTCGATGGGAGGACGAACTTCGCAAAGAAGTTCCTCTTCCCAAATGTATGATTGAAAAAGAGCCCGAAAATTTCAATGAAGATGATCTAAGAGCTGTACGAGATTACGAGGACAAAGTCCAGTTTTTGAACAGCGAGAGGGAGCGCTACAAGAGTCTCTTAAGGGCCGAATATGCCAAACTGGCAAAATCTGTCCGAGAAAATATCAAGAAATTTAATAATAAATTGAGTGAATTGCTTCACTTGAGATTGGAAGTTGATGCAGCTATCAGTCATGAGAGTTTAAGAGTTACCAGAATAAAACTTTTTCAATACAAGAGAAAACTGCTGTTCCAGAAAGAACAAGAAATATTGTAAATACGTTGTATGTGAATTGTGATCGAAAAATTAAAAAAAATTTCAGGCAAAAAATCGCAAATAATGATGAAGTGGTCGCAAGTCTCCACAAACTCATGACAACTTTGCACGAAGCGGTGAGCGAGTGTCGCAACTGTATTGAGTCGTATCAAGTCAAAGAAAAATACCTTGAGCGTGCTTTTAAGAAAGATTTCCAAGATTTGTCAATTGTGGTTCAAGAACAAGCCACGAAATTGTTGAAGTAAGGGATAAAATTTTTAATAAGTTGGTTTACTAGTGGTTGCAGGAAACGTCCGAAAATCAATCACCGATTGTTTAGTTCGGTTACAATTCTTAATGAGTTAAGCAAATGTATTATTTTGGGTACCAAATCGATGAGGTTGAATCAGGAAGCTTTGGATTTTTTGAAACAGTTGGATAATTTGGATTTGTATGTTGGAGTACCGACGATTATCGATGAGCACACCTATGCTGTGATTTGCAAACATCGGAGACTGAGGATCGAATACGAAGTCAAGGTTCGTATAAGACTAGGATAAGACACGATGTAAAAATGCAAAATTTTATTGAAAACTATATTTTAAACAATTTCAAACATTTAGCAATTTGCGCCCCGTCTCATATTTTTGAAAATGCTGCGAATACGGTTAAAAGTAAGTACAAAAAAAATATAAAAAACAAATTTGTAGAGAATAAAATTTTTGAGAAAAAAGTCCGGGAGAGACCTCCGTCTTCAATCGTTTAGGTCCTAAAGACGTTCAAAGACGCTCAAGTGACGAATACGTGTCATTTTTACCGATGGTCAAGAGACAAAAAATTAATTTAAACCTAAACGGTTGAAGATATGGTCTCGCAGCCTTTTTTTTAAGAAATTTAATTTTCTACAACTTTGTTTCCTACACTTTTTTGTATCTTCAACTGTATTCGCAGCGTTCTCAAAAATATTGAAAACAGTATAAAAAATAAATTATAAACAATTATCCGTTTGCGTTCCGCCCAATATTTTTGAGAACATTGCGAATATGATTAAAGATACAAAAAAGAGTGTAAGAAACAAAATTGTAGAGAATAAAATTTGCTACCAAAAAGACCCAGAGACCATATTTCTATCTTCAACGGTTCAGGGTCAAATTGCTTTAAAGTGTTCTGACACTGAATCACCAGTAAAAATGAAACGAATCTGTTGCTTGAGCAGCTTTGAACGTCTTTGAGGCCTAAACCATTAAAGATAGAGGTATGCTCTCGCGAACTTTTTACCTGAAAATTTTATTCTCTACAACATTCTTTCTTACATTTTTCTTGTATCTTCAACCGTATTCGCAGCATCTTAAAAAGCATGAAACGGAGCATAGATTTGAAATTAAAAATTTTTTTTCTCATATTTCTCGTGAAAAATTTAGTCGTTCGTTTTTCACAGCTTATTAAGATTGTAAAGCTCAACATTTTCGCATTTTTTTTCCAAGCAACTAGTACACTGGTTGAATTTAAATTAATTTAAAACGATTTGAAACTGAGATGTTAAAACACTCTAAGCGCCCTCATTTTTACTCCGCCGTGCTACTTTTTTTGGGTCCAAAAATCGAGCAATTTCATCTCCTAGTATGTAGTTCTCTTTAGTTTGTATCTAGAAAAGAAAAAAATTGATTGAAAATGTTTACAATAGTTGAAAGCTGCTCAAAGCGAGTTAACTGAAGCTGAAACAACCTCAGCTGCGTTTCATAAGCGATTGCACCACAAAAAAGAACTTGGGGCAAAGCTACACAATGATTTGAACGACGTTCGACAAGAATTGATGTTGATGATGTGTAACGGCGATGTGCAAATTGTCCTTCCTCGAGGATTAGTTGAGATACCTCTAAGTGGAAGTATGTCCGATTATGAGGATGCAGTCCTGATTTGTCGTAAAGATGTTGAAGAAATCAACCGAATCATTTTGGTTTTGTTTTAATTACTTAATTAAAAAAATAGTTTAAAAGTGTGGCACTTGTAGGAATTCGGTGGTAAGAAAATCAAAGCTCTGGAGCTCGGTATGAACTTCCGGAGAAGAATTTTGACACTGGAGTGGGAACATAAGAGAAGAAGGATGCTGATTCAGGATCTTCAAGAGAAGATTATTGATATTGACGGTGTCAGGGTATCACAAATTGCTTGTTTTAATCAGAATCATCAATCTTATTTTTAGTTAACTAAAGAAATTCAGTTTTATTTGAAAAGCAAAGATAAAGAGAAAGCAATTCCATTTGATACTGAGGTTGACATGATCAAAGCTTCATACGAAAACACGATTCAAGACAGGAAAGACAAAGTAAATCGAATGCAAAAACAAATAAATGCGATTAAAGCACATGATAAACTTGTTGAGAAAAAAATCACAGAATTGAACGTCGATGTGTGCGAATTTAATTTAGTCAAAGATGACGAGCTTGACGTCAGAGAACGAGCCATGATCGATGCAAGGTACAAATTTTTATTTCCACAATAACAATTTTATTTTTTTTTCTAGAATGAAAACGTTGCTAACGAGGTCTAGATTGGTCCAGCAGATTCAGGACAACCACCATGAAATACTCATGTTGCAAACGGAGTTGGAATTGTTAAGACTTAAGACTTTTCCCACTCTCAAATACAAGTTGTGTTAAGTTTATTTTGTATTTAATAAATAAATTCATTATCTGAATTGATTATTATGATACAGAGTCTTTCCATCGAGTAATAGGTGAAATAAATTTTATCAGATACTACACTTGGTTGCAATAAAAAAGGAAAATAGATTTTTCTTTAAATTGAAACAGGTTTTGCCCTTTTCAACATTTTCCGATATTTTGCAACCAAGTGTACACACTAAAAAGTACCGTACGAACAAAAAAATAAATAAATTAGAGTAAGCGGTGATTAAAGTTTTTCAGATGGCAATCCTAATTTTTGACATCAAATGTCAGCGGAAACTTTGACAAGTTTGCGTTTTATTCATTTTGAGTGAAACAATGTTCACTTTAGAGCAGATTTTTTTTTATTGTTGCAAGTTATTTCGAAAATGCTGTACAAGACGAAAACGGTGAATAGTCATTTTCACTTTCAGTTTGTGTGGAAAATTTCCAGCCCACAATCTCAGGTAATGTGTTGCCAACTGTAGAATTTAATCGACGCCAACTCTAATTTATTTTTTTGAAATCAAGAACTGACGTTCTCGCGGTAAATATTCTTGCCTGGATAAAACGCTATCTAACACACTCTTACAGTAAATAACTATTATTAGTATTTATTTTACGGAATTCTAATTTTTTAATAATATATTTGATTGTTTAGCAGGCAAAAACCCTTAGGAGTAATAGTTTCCGAGATAAAAGTAAAAAAACAAAAAAAGGCACCTTTAGCCACCTCCCCCTCCTCGAGCTCGCCCCCCACTTTTGGGGACTTTTGATATATGTCTACCCAAGAATAAAGAAAGCTTTTAAAAAAAGTTCCAACTCTCTAGGATTTTTTTCCACCGATCGCCCTATTTTTGTCTAATTTGACTGGGCTATTTGCCTGGAAGTACATTTCTCCAAAAAGTTATGAATTTGTAAGAAGTTAGTTTTTAAAAGCTCTATCCAAAACAACTTTAAACAGATATATGGGCAATACTAAAGGGGTATTCTCAAAGCAAAAAAATAATAGAGGATAGTAGAAAACTGATTAATAGAGAATAAAATTAATCTTAGTGTTTTTTATTCGAAGTATTGAAAAAAATAATAAAAAGTTATTGTAATTTTAATGTTCAACAAAAAATTGTTATACAACCCATGAAACATAAAAGTAAATTTTTGTATACAAAAATTTATCAAGGTTTCAAACCAAAGTATAGGAGCGCGGACTCGTCGCTCCCCCAACGGCAATTTTTTTGACATTGGATAGACTTTTTAACCTTAAAACGCATTGCAGATTCCTGTAACTGGCGCTGCAGTCGCGTGTAATTCTGAAATGTCACAATTGCCAACTTGCGAAATGTCATTTGTCAAGTGCGAGTAAAATGGGCAAGTGCAATGGCAGTTTTGCAAGACTTTGACAGGGCAATATCTTGCATCGCGTCTAAGTTGGATGGGAGTGTCCTTCAGCCGTCTGATGCCGGTGAGAGCATCTTCACAATGTCGACCGACAGCGAAGACATGGACATCGCGCAGCAACTCAAGAATATGGAGAGCGTTATTAACTTGACCCGCGCCAACATCGACGCCCTCAACGCCAAGTTCGCCGACTTCCAGCACCCGCCGGCCATCTACTTGATGGAGTACGAGGATCTCACATGCAAACTGCACGAGCTGGAACTGCAGGAGCGCCGCCTCATCGAGCAGCTGAGCAACGGGCGCGAGAGCCCCCCTGAGCTCGAGGAGCCGGAGCACCGCGCCGCCAAGCCCGACGCCCTCGCCAGGCCTAGATTCCTCAGGGCGCACCTGCCCAACCAGCAGCGCACCAGCGTCCAAGTACGCGAGGGGCTCACGCTGCGAGACGCCTTAGCCAAAGCAATGAAACTACGTAACCTTATTTGTGAAATGTGCTGTGTTTATCTCGGGGATACGAACACTGTCGTTAATTGGGACACGGATATTAGCACCCTCAACTGCGAGGAGATTACCGTCAAAATCCTAGACAAGTTTCCTATTCCTACGAGTATTTCGCATAATTTCGTTAGAAAGACTTATTTCTCACTGGTGTTCTGTGAATGCTGTCGGAGACTTTTATTTCAAGGATTTTATTGTAGGACTTGCGGATACAAGTTCCATCAGAGGTGTGCTGGGAACGTCCCTCCACTGTGTCATCAAGTAAGTAACTCACACAAACATGTTTATGTATACAGGGTGCGTCAGAACTCGCGCCACAGAGAAAAATGCCGTCTAAGGTAAGATACCACAAACATGGAAAAAATGTTTACAAAATTCTATCTATAAAAATTTCGAAGTTATGACAGTTCATATGTTGCACTTTGACTCTATTTATTTCTGTTGGAAAAATAATTTTCCAAGTTTTTTTGCTACACGCTATTAGAAGAGGAAACAAGTAAGCTGTATCCTAAATTGTAACTTTGTTCAATGTTATTTGTGGCTTTTATTGGCAAAATTTTTGTACTTTTCTACCCACCCGGGGAAAAAAAACTATTCACCAGTCTAACTTTCTACTCACACTGCGCTTTGTTGCAATAGTGTTTCCGACTAACTAGTTGGGGAGCAGGTAATATGTCGAAAGACCCTTACTTAGGAAGTTGGTCCGGACTCCAGGAGACACGTTTCTTAAAAATGTTTTTTTTCTGAAAATTTCTTCAATGAGTATAGATTATGGTGATTATAATAATTTGCAAAATGACACTAAGCAAATTTTAGAGAAAAAAATGCACGCCCATGTATTTCATTACCTTAACAAAATTTTTGTGATTTACTTTTAATTTTATTAACAAATAGCAAGTTTCTTTCGTTTTTTTTATATTTATTTTTATTACTTCTAAACAAAGCAAAAAACTCAAAGTGGTAAATTTAGTACCATAACAATAATAATAACTAATATTATACAGTATGTCCACGGTTTATTTTATTTTACGCTAACACTGCAAAAGAAAAACATTTTTTGCTTCACCTGAAACTAGTAACTCTGTTATTATTAAGTTCATTATTTTCACCCAGTGGAAAGAAAATATAATTTTTCTCTTGATTTTGAACTTGCAATAACACTGTAATCTACAAATAAAAACATGTTTAATATACTTTTAATCGAATTATTTTTATGTTAACTTACCTTTAATGAAACAAAAATAATTGTTAAATTTTTCTATCACTTCACAGTTTTTTATTACAGATGATAATTTTCCTACTTTCTGCACGAATGCCTCCGAATTAAAATTTATTTTAAATCGGTTGCTTAAATTGTTGCTGAATTATTGCAAAATTATTATCATATGGGTCTAAATAATTCTTAAAAACATTGACTCGCATTTGGACTTCTTTTTTAAAAATTTAGGGAGCATGAGTGACGAACAGGACGAGCCTTTTCATCAAGATCTGAAGGGTTCTCGAAGATTGACACCAAGGTTTTTGGGATGAAAATATGTTAGTAGATTGTTATAAAGAAAACTGATCCAAAAAAGTGTAATAAAACAAAGTAAAGTAACTCATGTTTAATTTGTTCTTTGGCGGTTTTTGTAGGTATTTTTGTTAATTACGTCTTTTTTAAACTGGACTTTTTTGTCAAAAAAATAAAATCGCCAATGTGATGGGTCTTTAAAAGCAAAGAAAAATTATTATTACAAGTCCAAAAGTAAGAAAAAAATTAACTTTTCTTTCCACTGAGTCAGAATAATGACGTTTTAATTACAGATTTGCTCGTTTCAGATAAAGCAAAACCTTAGCTGTTAAGGTGTTACTCAAAAGAGTTTATAAAGAAATAGTTTAATATCTGCTATAGAAAAAAAAAAGATTTCCTTTGCAAAATCAAAGGTAAAAATGTGTTTCCTTTTGACTTGCTATTGTAAAATGTATTATTAAGTTGAGAATTATGATTATAAAAGAAATAAATTACTTGATAGAAATTGGCAAAATTCACAGTTTATTAAAAAATTCTGGCATTTAAAACTAGTTCTACAATCTTGGTTTTTGAAAGAGTCAAGCTAAAAATGTTTTTCTTTGCAGTTTTGGCGTAATTTTTGTCTCTCTTGTAAACTCAATCTGGGAACATACTGTATACTGGCAAAATACATTTCTTAAATAAATTTATGTATTTGTAATTTGATAATAATTTGAGCAAGCTTGTTTATTAATCAAATCACAATTTAATGTATACGTTATAATATACTCATAAAAGTAATTTTCACAAAAAGACAGTTTTCGAGTCCAGATCAACTTCCTAAATAAGGGTTTTTCGATATATTACCTGCCCTCCAACTAGTTAGTCTGAAACGCTATTGCGACAAAGCGCAGTTGAGCAGAAAGACCCCCCCGGGTAACTTTACTAAATAATTATAATAAAAACAGATAAAGTCAGTTTTTTTAAATGGAAATACCAAACAGTCTTAACGTTGACACCACTAGCGAATTCATTCATGGTAATTTTAATAAAGAAAGTTGGTAGTTTTTTTAATTAATTTGAAAACAATGTCATTGAACGTCAACACATAAAATCGTCTAAGAGAATTTAGAGACGAAACACCAAAAAAGGAACAAATTCGGTACCGCTAACAATTTTTAGAAATTTGGAAACGAATAGTTCGCAAGCAGGGCCCGTTAAAATGTAGACGCAATTTGAAATGCAGGTTTGCTAAAGATTCTCAATTTTTAGCTAGAAAGTAACAAGAATACAAAATAAACATGAATGAGAAAGAACCCCGGAAAGAACGCAATTAAATTAGTGTCTTGTGCATCGTTTTTGAAGAACGACTTGAAAAAGTAACAATTTTGGAACTACAGCTGAAGAAGAATTTATAAAATGCATACTTTGAGCTCATTTCATTCAATAAATTACACAAAATGTATTGCGAATCATCTTAATACTCACTTGTATCTTTTGCTAAATAACTTTTTTCTGAATATACATTCTTTTTCTTTAAGAATAACCTCATTTTTTCCACAAGATTGTACTTACTTGCGGTGTGTTTCTATCAAAATTATTAGCACTGAATTCTATCTTTAGACCTTAGGTAACGATGTCTGTCCTCAGGTATTCAATTACAGCGCTTTCAAAAAGCAAATAGGCACACATTCATAAACGTCAAAATTTTGACAACATCTCATTTGGAAAACATAACCATAATTTTTTAACAAAATTTCTCTGGACAAAAACAAAGAGCAAACAAAATTTGTGGCTATGGAGACAAGCTGCTACCAATTTTTTCACCAACAATTTTGACTTGGTAATTTCCATTTAAAGAAAAACAGACTTTACAAGATCACCAGTTTCATTAAATAGACCATAAAAAATGCCAAATGTCAAATTTTTCTGACAGATAAAATTTTTTAAACATTTTTTCCATATTCCTGGTATCTTATCTTACTTGAAATTTTTCTCTGGTGCGCGAGTTCTGACACACCCTGATGTTATTTTAGGCCGACAATCAAGTACTTATACACCAAAATAAATTTAAAAAAATGAAAATAAATTAAAAGGGAATTAGTGCATGTGGAGCTGGTTGTTAAATGCAGTGGCATTTTATTTTTTTTAAGTAGATTTCTCAACCGAATTTCATAATTTGATCTTGATTTGTACAAAATATAGCTAAAAACTTTTCCTTACCTAACCAACCTTCTAAGATATAAACTCTAGTCATCAAAGCACTCATCCGAATTGAAAAGACTAAAATCACTCAAAGAATTCTTCCTCAAACAAGACAATAACAGGTAGAAGGTATTTTTTTTAATGTTTACATTTAAAATTCGTATATTCTTGATTAGGTAAGCATTTTTATTTGCAATCATATTGTGAGCAAAACGCAAATAAAAAATATAGACAGCATTAAATTCTCAATAATAAGAGACAAAGGTAATGCAAAATTTTTATTAAAAACTATACAGAGTGCGCCAGAACTCGCACCCCAGAGAAAAATTTCAAGTTAAGCTAGGGTTTCCTACAAAGCGGTGCCGTAATATTACGGTCGTAATATGACGGTGAATGACGTCACAAAAACGGTGGCGATCACATTTTGCATTAAGTTATTAAAAAATGTTACGTTGGTGTTGACCGTCTTTTAGGAAACCATCTCAGTTCAAAAATATGGGACCGTTTTTTCGTGACGTCGTTCGCCGTAATATTTCGGCAACGCTTTGTAGGAAACCCTAGCTTAAGATAAAATACCAGGAACATGAAAAAAATGTTTAAAAAATTCTATCTGTCAAAAAAATTTGACATTTATTTTTTCATATTTCACATTTTTTCATATCTATTTAATGACACTGATGATATTGTATATGTTTTTTATAATTCTTTAGTAAAATTAAAAAAAATGCCAATAAAAGCCACAAATAACATTAAACAGAGTTACAATTCCTTGTATCTTCTTCTAATAGCCTGTAGCAAAAAAAAACTTGGAAAACTATTTTTCCAACAAAAATAAATAGAATCAAAGTGCAAAATTTAAACTCTCGTAACTTCGAAATTTTTATAGATAGAATTTTTTTAACATTTATTCTATGTTCCTGGTATCTTACCTTACCTTTCTCTTGGGCGCGAGTTCTGGCGCATCCTGTATTTAAAAAAAAATTCAATTTGCTAAATATTTTTGAAAATGCTGCGAATAGGGTTAAACGTACCGTGCGATCAAAAAAAAAAAACATAAAAATAGGCGGTGATTAAAGTCGTTCAGATGGCAATCCTGATTTTTGACATTAAATGTCAGCGGAAACATTGACAAGTTTGTGTTTTATTCCTTTTAAGTGAAATAATGTTCACTTCAGAGCAGAACATTTTTATTGCTGTACAAGAGGAAAACGGTGGATGGTCATTTTCACTTTCAGTTTGTGTGGAAAATTTTCTGCCCAGATTCCCAGCCAATGTGTTGCCAACTGTAGAATTTAATCGACGCCTACTCTAATTTATTTTTTATTTGATCGCACGGTACAAGAAAAGTATAAAAAAAGAAAGTTGTAGAGAATAAAATTTTCAAGAAAAAAGTCCACTAGAAACCTCTATCTTCAATGGTTTAGGTCCTAAAGACGCTCAAGTACGAATACGTGTCATTTTTATCGGTGATCAAGAGGCAAAAAATTAATTTAAACCTAAACGGTTGAAAATAGAGATATGGTCTCGCGGACTTTGTAGGAAATTTAATTCTCTACAACTTTGTTCC